GAGAGAGAGGGAGAGAGAGAGAGAGAGAGAGAGAGAGAGAGAGAGAGAGAGAGAGAGAGAGAGGTGTATCTGTACACATCTGTTTGGCATCTGTTTGGTTCCACACAGGCACATGAAGATGATGACACTCCATACTCAATCTTTTTTTTTAAATCAGCTTTAAAAAAACTATTTTAATAGTTTTTTAGTTTAATAGTTTTTCTCCAGCAGCCTTTGATGAACATCTTTTGACCTTTGAAGTATTATAATTCTTACTTGGGTAACTAATGCAACCACTGTGTCTTCTGCTTTGAGTAGTATGGGTGGTAACCATACTAACCAAAGGGTCCAGTTGTTTAAATTTGACCCAACAGGAGGTAGCAAAGAAACTGTATTTATCATCATCATCATCACCACCACCACCACCACCATCATCATCATCACTTTAATGTATACTATTTGATGTGATAACAAAAATAAAATAGATACCCCCTGTCCAACACCATAGGACATAGGCTGGAAGACTCTACCCAATCTAATGCCATGGGACCTGGGTGGGGAGCAAACCTCAGATGAACCCTGCCTGGTGCCACATGGCACTGGTTGGGCATAGCACTCCTAAGACCATTCTTGAGACAAGCCCAGACACCCAGAGCTCCCAGGTACCACTAAGAAGAGCAAATAAGTAGTAGAAAGATTGGAAGAGAAGAAGAAACAGAAAGATGTGTGCTCAATGAAAACAGACAGAACTGGAGACTGGAGGGCAGTGAGGAACAGCCTGATGTGACTAGCTAGTGATGACAGGCCATGGTGAGGACTTGGCTGGTGTGGCCACTGAGGGACATGTCTGGGCCATGACATTCCAGAAGAAGGGCTATGTTACCACAAAAGGCCAGGCAGACATCCCTGGTCTGGGCTGCTGTCTGGGACCATGTGGATGGCTGAGGACTGTGCAGAGCTATTCCTACCCATCTCCTGGGCATCCGGGAAAGCTGGCTCCAAAGGTGTGAGAGCAGATCTGTCCCTGTCCCTTGCCAGCTGCAGTACTCAGGAGAGCAGCCATGTGCCTTGCCCAGTATGTATGTAACAAGGACCAGATCAACATGTGTATGTGTGTGTATGTATGTGTGTGTGTGTATATGCATGTGTATGTACATGTGTATGTGTGTATATGTGTGTGTATGTGCACGTGTGTGCATGCATGCATGTGCGTGTATGTACACGTACATGTGCATGTGTTTGTATGTGCCTGTGTGTGTGTGTGTGTACGGGTGCGTGCATGTGTGTGGTTGTTTATCCCAGCACT